TAGAGGAATATATGAATCCTTATCTAATGGACTAGTCATTGAAGAGGTCAGAGTTCAGTTACAAGGTCAGATTTCGACAGCTGCTTTTGAGAGCTATGATTGCTAGTTGGGTTTCGAAGTCATACACAATAATAGTTTTAGACTTATCCAAGTGGGAGACTATTGGATTAATGTCTAAGTTCATAACTATATTTGGTATGTACTTGACCCGACCCAGCATGGTCCATTTGGGTTGCATGGCATCGTGCACTTGGATAGACTAAATGAGTGAAATAAGACACTTATGGTTATTAATATATTATAAGTTCTAGTATATTAATATTAAGAATAATAATATTTAATTAGTATTGATCAAGAACTAATTTAGAATTAATTATGTGATCAAAAGAAGACTAATTAAATATATGGGTTGATTGTGTAAATCATCCATAACTTATATAGTGGGCCAAAGCTCCATGGATAATCAAGTTGGGTTAAACCCATAGGATGCTCCATGGAGGTTACATAATCCATGGGTCATGGAAATGAAAGGTCATGACAATTAGGGTTTACATGGTGTAACCCTAATTGTAATGTACTATATAAGCATCATATTATTCACCAAAATCGGCCACTAGTAAGTGTAAAAGAAGGGCTAGCCGATTTCATGAAGTGTGGATTTCTCTCTAAGTTATTCCAAGAGAATTTGATGTTGTGTGAGCTATTTGAGGTGTCACATTGGAGGCACTAGGCACTCAAGCCCCATGGATTCAAGCTATAGTACAAGAGGTATGTATTCTATCTATATTATTACCCAAGTATCTATGATTGTATGCTAGATAGGGTAATACCTTGGAATATTAGTATTTGCATGTATATTAGAGAAAACATAGATCTAAGGTATTTAAGGTTGCATGTACACCATAAGAGTGTTAGAATGCTCAAAACCCAACAACATGGTCTTACATCCAGGTGTCATGGGCTCTCCCATGGTATTCCATACAAGTATACCACATATACAACTAGCATACCTCCTAGCACATAACCAACTAACATGCCACATACACTACATCAACTGGTGTACCACATATCATAAAATAGGCCGGCCTTGGTGCCTTCGACCCATTGGTATGGTGAGGAGACTTACCTCTCAAAAATGATGAACTGATGAAATAAGATCTGATAAGTCCCAATGCATAGCTCCAACTCAACCGCCTACAATCATCATGTGACTAGTTTGTCAAAATCCCGAAATACCATAAATACCCTTATGGTCAAACTTGGTCAACCCTGGTCAAAGTCCAGGTCAACATTCCATGTTGACTCCCAACTCACCGAGTGCATCTAGCAACTCGTCGAGTTCCTTCAAAGTCCAGAAAATCAGGACGAACCCTAGCCAACTCGTCGAGTTCACTCATATCCAGTAGGCGGGGAAACCCGATCCGACTCGTCGACTTGCTAGAGCAAATCGTCGAGTTTTCCCCCTGTTTGTTTATTTAGATGATACATTGATTACAGGGACTCTAGGGCTTAGATATGAATTCTAAAGGTGTCTAGGAGGGTAAAGCTTCCAACTTTATCCCCTAAAACTACTCTATATGCTCTAAAACCCTTAACAAAGATTGGAAGGCTCAAAATATTAGCCATATGGTTCAAGACTCTAGGGATCTAGAATCCCTTCTTTCCAGAAGAGGATCTAGTCCTCAAAACATTCCAAAGATGGAGACTTTATAGGCATGCATGTCCAATGCATGTCATGAAGTCATAATGGCCAAAAAAGGAAAATATGCCCTAAAATCCATGCATGACATCCATGCTTGACCAAAATCTAGATCAAGCCCACTATGGGACCATTTTGCCCTGGAGATTCATAAAGTTGCAAACTTTATGCACCCCATGCATACAATTTACAAGAATGAAAGGAAATGAAGAGTAAACTCAAGATTTAGCCATACTCTAAGATAAAAATCGAGTCTTGAATGCTTACAATATGGTCCACAAGATGGCCAAGCTCAAGAGTGAGGGATTTGTTTGCTGGATCTTCTCATTCTTCTCACTATCTTCCTCTTCTTAAGCTCCACAAGTCACTCTAGCTCACAATATGAGAGAAAATGGAGATTAGGGTTTAGTACTGATGTTTTTAGGGTTTGGAGGCTGATGGAAGGTCGGCCTCAAGGTTTTAAGGATATTATATAGAGTTTTTGGTAAAAATAGGGTGGTTTTGAAATTGGTTGGTAGAAATAAGGCAGTTTTTATTTCTTTTGTAGAAATGGGTATAAAGGGTGATCATTCAACTTTGACCATTTCAAGTGTTAGGCATAAACTGTAGTATGAAGAATTTAAGGATTTAGTTTATGCACACGTTAGAGTCGAAAAAACAACATATAAGTTGAATATCTCACTATGTTACGAGTTCGGTGGAAAATCTAATATTTCACAAATCATAAGTAACTCAAGTCTAGATGTGTTGTATTGTTTGGCCGAGAATGATGAAAATTACTACGCACAAGTTATTACCGTAGTAGAAAAAATTGCTCAAGAACAAATAATGCCTCCTACTTTAACCAGCTATGTAGATTTTCTACGTAATTTTTAAGTGTCAGAGCCCAATCCTACAGATGTAGCATTTCCTTTACCCAATGATGATAGATTTGAAGTAGAAAATGACTTTGGATTTGATGAAGGCAACTCATACTATAGTGAAGATACTAGTACTGAGTTATTCAGTAATGTTGGGGAAGATTTTGATGATGATGATGATGTTTGTAACTCGGGTTATGAGCTTTATGAATGATGTTGAAGATGTAGGCGACGGTGACATAACCGATTTAGAAGACAACATTCATATAGATGTTTCGAAGGAATCGGAAAACAAAATAAGGTTAGGAAATTTGAAAGTAAGGTACAAGCCAAGAAGGCAGTAACACTTTGGTCGATCAACCACAATAGAGAGTTTAAAGTGTACGAAAGTAAAAGTAACTTATGGGTAGCAAAGTGTAAGACTCTAGGAGATGAAGGTGAAAGCTCAACTACTATGAACTACACACCACGTTGTGCATGGTATGTTCGTGCAATTAAGAAGAAAAATCATCAAACATGGAAGATTACACGTTGGGTGGATGCTCACAATTGCTTTGGATCATGTATTGGAAATAATAATAGAAATTTAAACTCTTTAACTATTTCCTCAAATATCCTCCATTCAATTGAAAAAGTTGTTGCTTATCCAGTGAAACATATACAATAAGATATTAAAAACCTTCTGAATGTTGATGTTTCTTACTAGAAGGCATGGCATGGAAGGAGAAAAGCCATAGAGACTATTTATGGAACATGGGAGAGTAATTTTGATGAGTATCTAAGTACATTGCAGCTTTTCATGCTTCAAATCCTGATACAGTTGTGAAGTGGTTTCATAAGCCAAATGACTCCTCAAATGTTGCAAATATGGACTATGCCACCAACCTAATCATAATCGAAGAAATTGTTCAAATTCTCAATCAAGATACAATGTCATGTGAAGTATGTACTTTTATTAATTTATGTTTAAATGTGTGCTTAATTTGTAACGTTGAAAAATGTTTATTTAGTAATGTAATGTCATATTTAAATGCTTTTGTAATTTCATAACAATATAATATATTCAATATTTGTGTTTATTTGAAGGTGTTGAATAAACATTTTTCAAATAAAGTAATTAATCTATAATATATAATTTGAATAAAATAATTAATGTATAATATATAATAAGGTTAAAAGGTACAGTTTTTAATAATAAAAGCTATATAAAAAACAATTATATAAAATAAGGGACTAAAAATGTAGAATCTGAAATTTGATTAATACTAAAGTAGATAAAAAGTAGGGTCCCAAGAAAAAAGACCTATTTTTACAAAGCAAAAGAATACTACCATATTTCTACCAATCAATTTCAAAACCATCCTATTTTTTACCAAAAACTCGATTATATAGGATGCAAACCCTAAAATTTAGGGTTTTCCTTCACAGTGTCTACTCGTCGAGTTGGGTCATACAACTCGTCGAGTAGGTCCTAAATCCTGCATCCCACAAGTGATATCTACTCGACGAGTTAGCGCTCCCCAACTTGTCGAGTTCCAATCTAAAACCCTAAAATTCTGAAAAGAAATTGATACCTGAAACAAGCGTTATAGGATAGGTTTGTTATAGAACCTTCTCTTCAATTCCTCAAAACCTTGTCTTGAACTTCGTCCTCTCGTATATCACTCTTCCAAGCCAATACGGTCAAAGGACTCAAAAATATTGAAAAATTTTCTACGAATCATCAGTGGTAACCCACCAATCCAAGTAAAACTTCTAATTTTTGTGGGGCTTTTGGCGGCTCCCACTTTGTGAATGCCTCAATTTTGGTTGGGTGTACTTTTATCCATCTTCATTCACCACATGCCCGAGAAATTGTATTTAAAAGAAGAAAATTGTTATATACGATATCAAACCTATTGATGTCGATCTTGTGTATGATATCGGTCTCATCTATGACCCCACATCCCATCTACGCCATTAAATTCACCTACAACACGAATCTCATCAATGTCACTGAACACGTCTGAGTCACCAATATGGAAGACAAATTGGTAGACATTGAAAGTAATCCAATTGTGCATGATGATAAACCCATAGATGATGAGACGAGAGATTAAAACTCGGGGAAGAGAGAGAGTCAAGTTCTAGAACGATTACGACATCATAGGAGCAACATGAGTTCTAACGAAGCACATAACTAAACGACACCCGCGTCCCAGAGAGTTTGAGATTCAAATTAATTCAGAGCATCCCTGCCTTCAACTTTGGTTCTTGTATTTACAATGATCGTTTCTTAGATTATCCAAATGCAAAGGGAGCATGAAGGTGGTTCCTTTAGAATCTCGACTCCATCGGGATCCTAATAAAAGCAAGTCGTTAAGGTTTCACATTGGGTCGAGAATGAGTACGAGAAGGATTAAATGTTATGGAGTTTTAGACCAAAACCAAGTGGTAGTGGACACAAACTCAAAACAATAAACATATCTTCCATTATCAAAGACATAAATTAAGTTTCATAAATAACTACTTATCATTTCATTTCTAATTTTTAAGGAGTCACAATGATCAAATGGTCATATCTTCTATATCTATTCACAACATTAACATTAAACCCAAAAAAATGTGATCCTACAAACCAATCAGACAAGCAAGAACTCCTTATGGCCTTGGGCATAGCTCCTGAAATCTACTCAACCTTCAAAAACAAACAAATCTACTATCAAAATACAACCATATGCATCACATATATCGAAATTCATCATCTTTTTGTATGAAATAATAACTAATGACAAAATTTAACAACATTATATAAAAAGATCAAGAAACTACCGTTTCAAAAGCACTTTCGGATTATATGGAAACAAGTTTTTGTGGTGTAAACTCTCAATCGATTTCTTTAGCAGAAGCAAACACTCCCTTGCATTATGAAACGGTTCTTTAAAGCTTTTCTGGTTTTTATGATCCGTTTCAAATGAATCATTCATCACTTTTCTTCGTTTTTGAGATGATAGGCTTCCAACTTCTTTGCAAATTGGGAATTTTAGAAACGGGTCCCATTTATCGCATATGATTCGCAAGCACCTGAATATTTTTTAATCAATTAAATTAATAAGCAAAAGATCTAAAAAAAAAAAAAAAAAAAAAAAAACAATAATGGTGAAACATGCCTTAAAAGATACTCAGCACATGTAGCTCCAGTGTCTTTGGAGATAAGATAATCGAGAAGCACTTGATGATCATAATGTATCTGCAAACAATCGAGGGTAAGACTGTAATTTTGTAACCCTAAAATATTAGTATTTTTGAAACTAAATAACTATAGAAGAACTTACCTCCAAAAGAAATATATGGAAAAGATGAACAGGTTCAAAAACATCCAAGAGTAGGACAATTATATCCTTCTCCAATACATCTAATGTCCAATCTTTCCTATTATAAATACCAAAAAAAAATATATGTGAATAAATAAAATATGTATACACGAATAAAAAAAATTAAACAGTTATTTTTCTCACTGTTGCTTGTGGCAAAAAGGGATGTCAGTTAGCAACAAGAGAATTTCAAATAGCATATCATCCTGCAATTCAAAGATGAAACAAAAATAAAAACACTAATAAACAAAATATTTATGAAAAAAGGAAAATGAAATAAATCAAGAACAACAACCTCATGGATATAAAGCTGTAAAAAAGACTCTGCAAATTGGTTGCATTTCACAAGATGCTTTTTGAGCCACTCATGAATTGCAATAAATCCTTTCTTTGAGCAACACTTCACATCCCCACAAACACATTGATTCCCTTTTGTTTCTTGTAATCTAATCAAATGAAAACTACACTTCAAGTAAAGGAAAAAAACTCGTCTTTGTAAATGTTGATGATGACAAGTTTCATCAAGAAGAAATGGAGATTCTTTAAGGCAATCATCCTCCTTGGTGTTTGATTGAGTTAAAGATTCAAATAGTAAATCTTGGAAGTGTTTATTGATGAGATTCAACCATGAAAGAATCATTTCACACTCTAGTTTAATGATGGAACTAAGTCTCATCATCAATACAAGAATCTTGTGTTGAATGTATTGAGAGATTCTTGTATAACCATTATTTTCAGCTTGATTGCTCTGATACCATGTTAGAAATCTTGGAAAGATGTTAAAGATTAAATGTATAACTGGATTTTTGTCATCAGAATTTGAAACAATCGAACAAAACAACTGAAGAAGATGACCACAAAACTCATTGGAAACCGTGTTACATGACTCCCATGGTGTATCTTGTAAGCAAGAAGAAAGAGTGTTTAAATAAACTTCCAAAATTTCATCATCTTCTTCGTGTTTCAGGTGTTTTAGAATATTTCGTAATACTAATATGATTGAGCTTGCTGGAGAATCATGATCTGGTGAAATTGCTTTATGAATTATGAACTTGAAGTGGAGACATAGTGATTTGATGAATTCTTCCCAATGGTTTTCCTGTAAGATGTGTTTTTGTAAGAAAGAATGGAAGAAATTGAGGTGGAAAATGAATGGTTATTTACTTATTTAAACGTACAGATGACATTGACACCACGAACTTTGATATGGCTACAAGAACATTTCCTGATAAATGTCGAACATATGGACTCTGGATTGCTAGCAAGAACACCTGTAAGGAAGAAATCAAATTGAGAGGCTTAATTTGAGTAATCGAGTTCTTAATTATCTTGATTAGAGAATGTCGTGAAGTGATGAAACTGTACCAATTCGTTTATGATCTTGAATACGCATTCCGAAGCTGAAGAATGGCAGATTGAGCTAACGATTGTGGATTTGCTGTTACTAGAAACTTCGTTTAATGGAGTGCCCTGTGTGTGAAATAAATGTTTGATTGTGCAACAATGGAGATGAACAGTATTCAACTCGAATTAAACTACAACGAAAGAAGCACCAACATGATCACCAGAGGCAAGTTCGTCAGTCCAAAGCTTTATTTGATTTGAAACCTAAAAGATGGAAATAGGGTTTTGAATAAATTGAGGATTCAAATTGCAGTAATTGAAGTACGGATTCGTGTAATGGTAAATGTAAAACTTTAAGTTGGTAATTAACGACCTGAGAGAGTGTAATTAACAGCGATTTCTCTTCTTCTTTGGTTATCGATTCCGTTGATTTCGCCTGAGAATATTTAACGGGAGACGATCAAAAAGAGGGGAAGAGGAAAGAAACAATGTGAAGAGAGAACAAATTACTGTGAATGGATGGAGAGAGTTGTGTATGAGACAACAAAGGCGTGAGTATTGAAGCCGGAGCATCTCGCCGTCGCCGGAGACGATTGTTGACATTTTCAGTAGTTCGAAATTTGCGAGGGAAAAAGCACGAAAGAGAAGTGAGAAAACAGGGGTTCGCTTATCGCTTATCGCTCATCTTATAGACTTATACTCATCAACGACATTTTCTTTAAAATGCCAAATAAAAACTCATGTGGGTTATACAACGAAACCCTAAATTACCCATGATTAGATACCATTATTGATACATCAAGAAAGTTGATTTCTTCTCTCTGGTTTCTTTTCTGATAAGCGAAACACAAAGTCAAAAAGCAAACAGGCAACAAGTTCCATTTTTTATGTCATCGCCTCAAGAAGCCATTTCACTAGCGACACTTCTAATCCAAAAATGCACTTCCATCAACTCCCTCATAAAAGCCCGTCAACTCCATGCTCGAGTCATCACTGCCACACCCCCAATCCGAAAATCTCCTTACCTAAACAACAATCTCATCTCAATGTATTCAAGATGTGGTTCCCTCTTAGACTCACACCGTGTGTTCGACGAAATGCCTCAAAGAACCATCGTCTCTTATAACGCCCTCATTGCTGCCTATTCTCGCAGTCGCAACAACACCCATATAGCATTTGACCTACTGAAGCAATTAAACATCGAAGGATTCATACCAAATGGCCCTACTTTCACTAGC